AGGAAGATCGGGTTGTTGATGTTTGTCTGCCATTCTCGCTCTATCTGCACAGCGTGCGTGAACGCGCTGATGACGTATCCTGTCTGCACGAACCCGGTGCACAGAGGTATGCTAATACATATGTTGACAGGCAGGTAGGAAATCACATTAAAATGCTCGGACCGAGACATTCTGAAGACAATCACCTATTGCACCTTTAAAGCTAACATTTTTTAAAATCTATAAACTAGTTGATGTCAGTAATTGATTTTGTTGGATCAAGTAGTCAACCATCTTGCCCACCCATACCTACTACTGTCATACATTGCCTTCCAAGATAAACTACCATTCAAAAGTTTGGAGGCAGTAAGATTTTTTTTTAAATAAATTAATACTTCTATGCAGCAAGGATGAACTGAATTGTTCATTTATAATGTTACAATACATTTTAAATATTACAAAATATTTATATTTCAAATAAATGCTGTTCTTCTGAACCTTTAAAAATCCTGAAAATTGTATTATGGTTTCCACCAAAATATTAAGCAGCAAACTGTTTTCAACATCGATAATAACAAGAAAAGTTTTTTAAGTAGCAAATCTCAAGCATATTAGAATGATTTCTGAGTGATCATGTGACACTGAGTACTGAATTAATTACTGGTGAAATTCAGCTTTGCCATTACAGGAATAAAAGTACATTTTAAAATACATTAAAGTAGAAAACAGCTATTGTACATTTTAATGATATTTCACAATATTACTATATTTACTGTATTTTAATAAAATAATGCAGCCTTGCTGAAATAAGAGACTTTCAAAAACATTAAAAAAAAAACATAAAAAAAAATCTCTCACCAACCCCAAACTTTGGAACTGTAGTGCACTTAATTTTGACATCAGTTAGCATCAAAAGTTTCTTTCATAATTTAAACATTAATCTGAGAATCTCAGAATGTCAGGTCAATTCTTTTCAGTCTTATCTAATTAAAACCAGAATCTTTCACCCAATATCTGTGCATTCTAAAATAAATAATTTTGGTTCTAACAGATTTAGCTTAGCAACACTAATGTGCATGTCACACTATTGGTAACAATTATGAATTTTGATTCTCTAGACAAAGAAAATGAGAGCAAGACAAAGACAGAAACAAAGAGAAAGACAGACATCATCTTGCGTCCATGTGCAGGCGTCGCATGCAATGCGTTTTTGACAGACCTCCCAGC